GCTAGGTCGCGGAGGGCGCCGTGGAGGGGGTGGGTGCTTAATATTTTCTTTCTCCTCAGAGTAACTGAACACTCCTGCGACAGGACTAATGTAATATGAGGAAGTGAAGGCAAACCACATTTATAAGGGCCAGTGTTGATTGGCTTTCGTTGGCTCCAAATGGGTTTTGCATTCCCATACAAGTCTATGGGAGTGCGAAACTTGCTTGAAGCAGTTCTGAAGGTGGTGCACTGCAGGTCAAATGCACCTGTCAGTAAATTCTCAATGATCTCAGAAGCATCTCAAACTGATGTCAAACTGATGCCATCAACACGAGCTCCAAGCCCATCGACACAAGCCCAAAGCCCATCGGCACAGGCCCTTACAGAACTTGATGACTGTTTCTTCTACATCTGCAGAGGTTTGGCAGGACTTTCAGGATATCACAGATCGCTTGATACAATCTATATATTTCTATCACAAGGATTAAATTATTGTTGAAGCATTCATGCGACTAGCAGTACAAGGTGCCCGTGTAATGTATTTATTCTGCACAGGATTTATTTAGTTCTTTATTGTATTATTTCTTGCATTACGTTCCTTTTCCTTCAACAGGTTGTTGTGCTCATAATAACCTTCTGTGTGCTTTCATTTAAATGAATCATTTTAATATCCATTTGCTAGAAAGACAAGGCACCTACATCATTAATTAAAATCTACAGACTTCAGTCAATGAACATTCAGACAAATCATTCCATAAAAACAGATTAACAAATGCCCTTTTTTGATCATTATTTAAAGCCCAGCCAGATGTTATGGCTGCAGAAATTAAAACAATGGAGATTATAATCTATAAACTCATAAAGTGGGATGTGACGCATGGCTCATAGTTCAGTAGAATGACGGTATTATAGGGAGGAAGGTCCTCCTCTTTCATTAATATGGTGGAGGTCTAATAGGGTGAAACAGTAAAATGTAAGTTAGAATAGATGGCCCAAATTTTCAGGCAATAGAGATAAGGATGATCGCTGTTCATACATTATAATCCAAATATACTCCATCCTGAAATATTAATAGTAGGATATAATTATATGCCTCTCCGTGGTTATCTTTCCTTCTACATCAGACTGGCTAGGCCAACTTACTCTGCCTAAAAGATTTTTCCCATGAAATAAAGTAAAACCTTACAATGGAGTGAAATCACTTCTTACCAAATTAAAGTGAAACTCCGGTTACATACACAGTGCAAATATATGTATACACATTTTATATACTGCACAGCCATGCAGGTAACACATGTAGTTTAAAACAAAATCATCTTCCTGGTTCAGCAATTCAGCTTCCTATGTCGCCTCCTCATCTGATAGTGAATTATACTCTCACCTCTGTCCAATGAGCATGAGCCAACCCAGGAAGCAAAAATGCCTACCCATTGATCTTTGTAGTAGCAGAGTTGTGTTTATCACAAGAATGGCTGGCCAAACGAGAAATCTTTTGGCTGGTAAAACAAGAAAGCTTGTATTTAGTTGTTTACCGGGAGTTCCCCTTTAATTCTAAACTCACAGTAGCTCTGTCCAGTGACAAAAATATTCTGACAATAGAAGGAAACCTAGAAAACTTGATCACCATGAAAACAGTAGCTTTACTTTGATCAAGTGTTCTGTAAATCAGTACCGACTATACCCTGATTGGTGCAATATAGCATTAAAATCTTAAAACATCTGCAGCCCCCTTAATCTTCTTTGTCTTCTTCTTGTGCACAATTCAGGGATCTGCAAGTGCTTGTTTCAAGCAATGCATCCATGAACAGTTGGTTTAGGCCATTGGAGTGACAAAGGGGAGGTCTGCTGCAGACACCATTGGTGCTGGTTAATCAGGGGAATCAGTGGTCAACTGTATTTCTGTAACTTGTTTAAACACTCTTCCGCCCAGACGAGCCTATTCCAGTGATGTCTGTGGGTGCCTTGTAGACATAGCTTCTCCTCGGATCCCTGCTGCTCTCTAACTCACCTGTATGGACAGAGGACTCTGTCCTCAATCTTTTTTTCTATTTCAAAAGGGAAATGTCAAGGGTCTGTTTAGACCCCTAATATTTCCCTGAAGCCCCCCCCAACAGTGAAATAAAAAATAATAAAAAATAAATAAAAACAAAAAGACCCCCAGACACGCATTACTAGACATGTGCAAAGACTAAAATTTGTTTTGGACGAAATGAATGGAAACTAAAAATGTTTTCATTAGTTTTGTCAAACGTAAAACAAATGTTTATGCTACTTTGGATTTGGCAACCAGTGCATTCAGTGCATGTGCGCCGCCATCCTGGAGGCGGGGCGCATGAAGTCATATACTGCACACATCTATTGGGGGGCACAATTTTCTGTTCTCGCCTCGGGTGCAAAAGGAGCTAGCTATGGCTCTACTGCCCACAGATGGGCCTCTTACAATGGTGTTTGTGGGTGCCTCATAGACAATAGGTTCTTGCCCAATCCAGTTGAGAATGGCCAGATTGGGATATTGTCTTCTAATATCAATGGCCTCAAATTGTCCATTGTTCATTCATCTGAACTGACGAAGAAAAAAAGTTCCTGATACACATTGACCAACTATTTTAGCAGAGAGATGGGTGAAAAATGACTGTTATTTGGCTATATGATATGTTGTTCTTTGCCTTTATTAAATAAGACAATATGAATGTTCCAGCTTCTCATTAGTGTTTCTGTTCTTATACAGAGTTTATTAGGATGCATTGCACATCAAATCCTGACTGGTGGATGCCATCAGAGGAACAGATCAACAAGGTGTTCAGTGACGCTGTAGGACATGCACGCCAAGGACGTGCAGTAGGAACGTTCTTCCATAATGGAATCTCCTATTATGACAGCATTGACCACCAAGTATGTCACGAAGAGCTTTTCAACAGAGTCTCCCATGACGGTTCTGGTGATTGATGAAAAGGAAAGACTATGGAAGAATATAAAGCTCTAAATAAAAATCTTGAAAGAAAACATTAGCCACAAAGTGAAAACTTAGTGTAATAGTTGGGTTAATGTGTCTTCTGTGTTATGTTGCTGTGCATGGTGCCTGGGACTCCAAAGGGCCCTACCAGCAGTAAAAGTCTGCCACTTAACCAGTCCAAAGTATACTACAAGTCTGTAAAGTGTGTGCGTACTGTATGTGTTTAAGAGTTCTGTTATCCTGGTAATGCTTCAGGGGCTTCCTGTGGACCCTGTGATGTGACTGTTACTCTGTCTGGATAGAACACAACACAGCCAAAACAAGGACACAAGTCTCACTGGGCAAGAATGTGTTGGTGTGTTGTGTAGGATTAGCTTTAATAGAATTTGCATTTTCACAACTGAGTTCAATTATGCAAAACAGCAAATTGTTATATCCCGTGTTCATAAAATGTTGTCACCACAATCTTGACACTGCAAATTTCTGTTGCCTTTTTCTGTGAATTATTTCTAACCACGAATGGCTGTTTATTTATTTCTCCGTTCCTGTCTTTTGGGTATTGTACTGAGGAATAACTGTACCTTCTTAATTTCATATTTTAAGGCAGGGCAGTAAAATAATCAAATTTGTATATACAATTCATAATCTGTCTTGCTTCATTATGTCTGTACAAGCTTTTAAAATGTGCACCATGTGCAATGAGAAATATAAAAATTGTTTAATCCCATGGGAGTCTGCCCTCTATATTTTCATGTTGGTGTAGTACGCTAAAGCACCCCCCTCTGGACACTAAACCATTGTAAAACAGCCACATTGGGCATGTATGGTCCTGTCTTTTGATACTCTAATTATTCTTACTTGGAAGCTAATAAATAAAACACCCAAAATTAGATGATGAAACAACAAAACGCAACCTGTGCAAACCAAATAGTAATTGCAAGAAAAAATAAACTCATATACTTTGCTTTCAAACAATATTGCAACAGATTATAGAGTATACTGTATCAAATAAATGTGTGTGTGGGAAAAAACCCCAGTACATTTAAATGTCATGCATATTTAATGAATCTTGTCTTCTTCAAAAGACCATAAAGTGAAGATCCCTCCAAAACAAAATTGTGGTTTTGGGTAACTCACTGGAGGTGAATGACCTTTATATTATATTATATTTATAAAGGTGCATGGGAGATAAACTTGAGGACCTCAAAAACAGATATAAGAGATCTAACCTACGTTTTATTGGATTTCCACAATCTATTAGGGGCAGGAATTACTGTTGATCTTATGTCTACATTGGAACTCGAGCCATATCATATCCATCTGATTCAGAGAGCAGATCGTTTTGGGCCTGAGAGACAGAGTTCAAATCATAGACCTAGACCGATTATTGCAGAATATTTTCACTTTGCTGATAAAGAGACAATCTTGCAGTTATTTCACAAAATGAAGGGACTCAGAGTGAATGGAAAAAGGGTTTTCATCTTCCAGGATTATTCGGCTGCTGCTTTACAGAAAAGGATTAATTTTTTTTTGCACCGATTTGTAAAGTACTATCAAAGCGTGGGATACGATTTTCCCTATTGTACACGGCCAGATTGCGGGTTTTTTGGCAGGGAGAGGTTAAAATATTTGATGATCACACACTGGCAAGGGACAAATGTCACCTGTAGGGTACAGTGGAGCTTGGTTTAATACTGGGAAGTTTGGGGGCCTTTTTTTTTTTTGATGTTGCTGAAGACAAGCAATGCAGAGTTTATACATCTCTCTGTTTAAGTAGAGGAGTAATTGGTAGGTAGATTTAAGATATAAAATGAGACCATGGGTAGTTAGTATACAAACAGGATATGATATGTTTTGTATGGCTTGTCATGTAATGTTATTAGTGTTATGTCTTTTGGTTAGGCAAGATTTTAAGCAGTGACCAACCTCTGCTAGGGGATGTGAACTCCTTTTGGGGGCCTACATATGTGTTTTATTCTATTATGAGACCTTTTCTTGATGCTCTGCAGTACATCTAAGCTAGATTTAAAGTTGGTGTCCTGGAATGTGGCGGGGCTAAATAATCCACAGAAAAGGAAAGGAGATCTACATCTCTTGTAGATGTAGTATTCCTGCAGGAGACGCATTTGGAAAAGTCGGATCATTTGGGTGTTAGGTCTTTTTGGATTGGGGAGATTATAGCAACATCTTACAAAAGCTAAAAAGAGGGGTGGGGCCATACTTGTGAATATAAACTTGTCTTATACATTAATGCATTCTTTATGTAATGTATAGGCACCTGATACTGATTCATCACAGTTTTTTTTCTGCAGCTTGCACAAAAATTACTTGAACGGGATTTACCTAATCTTATTTTTGGCGGGGGACTTTAATGCCACTGTAGACCCAGCATTAGATCATTCATATTCACAAAGTCATGTTTCTTATGCGTCTACAAAAGATTTGAAGTAGTTGTTCACTCATACTTCTCTTATTGATGCTTGGAGAATTATGAATCCTACGGAACGTTTTTATACTTGTTATTCTAAAGCACATTCCACATTTTCCAGAATAGATCACATTATGTTACTGAGACCCTTTTCACAAGCATTAATAGGGTGACTATTGCTAATTTGAAACTTCCGGATCACGCTTCTCTTACAATGATTATATCTTTGCAATTCCAATTTAGAGGGCTCGGATTTGGAGATTTCCTGTTTCTTGCTCTAAATCTTCTAACTTCCAGGAGTACCTTAAGACTCAATGGGCAAATAGCATTGATGATCATTTGGAACATTGAGATACTCCCATCTTACGTGGAAGATGATGAAGGCGATTATGCGGGGACATGTAATTGCATATATGTCTGGAAGAAGAAAAGAGGCAAATATGGAGTATTTGGAGTTACAGAAACAGGTTACACTGACTTATAAGAATAGTCTAGAATATAATACTTTGCAATATAAAATGACCAGGCAAGAGGCAGTAATGCTTTTGAATGCTCATGAATCTGCTAGAGTACAGGCAAGTCATCTTTTTGCACAAAACAAATTATACAGATGGGGGAATAAGGCGGGTTTACTGTTGGCAAGGATGTCTGTTAGTGCTCGTCCTAAACGTTATATTTTGGAGCTGAGAGATCCTCAATCTTCAGATACTATCACTAAACCTGCTTTTATTATAGCCCAATTTGAACACTACTATAACCAGCTTTTTATTACACAATCCCCATGTTTAACTCAGATGGATACGTTGCTTGCTAAAGTGGGTCTATCAAAATTGACAAATGAGCAAAGAGTGAATTTGAACGCTCCAATATTGAATGAGGAGGCTGGGGCAGCAATTAATTCCCTGGCTGATAACAAAACTCCTGGACCAGATGGGTCTCCTGTGGAGTTTTATCAAATATTGTTATCAGAGATTACTCCTTTGCATACAGAAGTTAATAGTAGGATCTTGAGTTATAGTACTCCTTTTCCAGGTTTGCAGCTATATACCAACTTAACTTTGAAAGAAGGCAAAGCTCCCACAATAATTTTTTCTTATAGGCCCATATCTCTCTTAAATGGAGACTATAAATTATTGGCTAAAATAATGGCAAGTAGGTTTCAGAGATTCTTCCCTACATTAGTGACCAGTGCACCCACCAATTGGACTTTGTGCAAAACAGGCATTTGACGGTAGGAATTTGTACAGAAATTGCAGCAACTGTGATGTCTTCACGGAGCCACAATTTAAAGCCAATCCTTTTAAGCTTAGATGCAGAAAAGGCATTTGACAGGGTGAAGTGGGCATGGTTAAAAGAGAACTATGGCCCAACCTTTTTTGCCATACCTCTCTTTAGGAAAACAGGAGGACATATACTAATGTCCTCCTGTGAGCCAAAACTGCGCGGCAGCTGGGACAGATGCCGACAATATTGTGGGGATCCACCCCGCTGCCTGATTGACAGCTGGCTGTGCCCGCTCCCTTCTCCGTCCATTCCTCCAGTCAGTGCCAGAGGAACGGAGAGGGGGGAGGAATTCCTGCGGGGAGTAGTGACTGACACTCACCGATCTGTGCAGAGAGAAGATTGGGAGCGATCGGTGGTATGTGATCGCTCAGTTCTTGATCAATAGACCGGATATGTGACGGCTTCAGTGTCACACGTCGGCTCTAATTATGGTGATGAGTGCATTTTCCTCTCTCCATAATTCTCCTTTAAATTGCATTTTGGTTAACAGAGCCTCCGGCTCGACGTTTGCTATGTATGTTCGATATGTCTACTCCAATACTGTCACAAGGCTTATGATAAATGGCCAACTTTCTAAACCATTAAATATGCAGAGGGGCACCCGACAAGGATGCCCTCTCTCACCAATTTTGTTCAATTTGGCATTGAAACCTTTATTGAGATTATTATATTGAGTCCTTGCCAGACTTTAGGGTATTACAATTGGAAATAGGGAGGTGACAATGACTGCTATTACTATATAACTCTAACCCTAAGACAGTATTACCTAATATAATGACTGCCTATTGATATGTTTCAGGATAAATCTATAAATCTGGAAAAGTAAAAAGAGAAAGTACCTTATCTGGGGGGTCTATATCTCTAAAAACCCACATAAACTTTATAACGTTAATGTTCCCTCAGTGTTGAGAGCTCTTTTGGATCTTTTAGATAAATGGGCCCACCTTACTTTAGCATATATAGGGAGGGTTAGTTTGATTAAAATTATTCTTTTTTCAAAATTGTTGTACATCCTACAAATGCTTCCTTTGAGAAATCAAAATAAGGCTTTTCGGAGGTTGATATGGGGAAAAAGATTTGGAGCTATATAGGGATGCACTGATACCGATACTAGTATCGGTATCGGTGCCAATACCGAGTATTTGGGCGAGTACTCATACTCGCCCAAATGCTCCGATACCTTTCCCGATACTATAACTTCCGTGCAGAGGGAGATTTCCTTTGACCGGCATTGGCGCAAGGAAAGATGGAGCCGGGAAGCTGGCTCCATCGTGTTTGGCCGGCTCAATGCTGATTGGCCGAGAAGCTGGCTTCCCAGCCAATCAGTGTCGAGCCGGGCAAACAAATCTGATAATATAGCGACACGACCCCCACCCTGCAGGTACCTAATTCCCCTCACATAGATCCTTAGCATTCTTTAACGTACCAGTCCCTCGGCCAGATCTGCCGCCTCCTGTATGCACAGCGCTCTTATATGCACGGCGCTCAGCCTGCTACTGCGCATGCACAGGATCTCTGAATGAGCCCGCTAGGCCGTCTGCGCATGCGCAGTAGCAGGCTGAGGGCCGATCACGTGGGCGATGTACACACAGGAGACGTGGGCAGATTCGGGAGAGCGGTGTCTGCCCAGCTGGCCCAGTGACTGGTACGTTAAAGAATGCAAAGGATCTATGTGAGGGGAATTAGGTGCCAGATCTGTTTGGCCAGCCTCGATGCCGACTGGCTGGGAAGCCGGCTTCCCGGCCAATCAGCATCCAGCCGGCCAAACAGAATGGAGTCGGCTTCCCGGGCAATCAAGAAGCCTTAACGAGTACCGAAATATAAGTATCGGTACTCGATAGCAAAAAACGGTATCGGTGAATCCCTAGAGCTACAGGTGAAACTCGAATAATTAGAATATTGTGCAAAGTTCATTTATTTCACTAATGCAACTTAAAAGGTGAAACGAATATATGA